CGTCTGAAATATTTTAGGCGTGTAGGTCATATTGATTTATGCATACTGTGAAATTTTCAAGTTGATCCGTCAGAAACGGCTAATTAACGCTCATCATGAAAAGCCCTGTATACTCCCCATCTATCCGACACTGGAGTTTCATCTTTATTGTTTTTGATGAATTCTTCGTTTTCATATAATAAAATACGAATTGAAAAAATCAAATTGAATTATTTCTCCTTCATTCCATCACCATTAGACATTCAAACTCCATCGAAAAAACTCAAGACATAATTGAAAAAAAGTATGTTTCGACTGACAGGAAAATTATTCATGAATTACGAGTTATCTATATTTGAATTATTATCGTTTATATCTATGCTTTTGATGATGCTGATTGATTTCATAAATACAGTTTTCCGTTGTTCTCTCCTCAGTTTACACCATATATTCCAAGTATCTCATTATTGATATTATTGATATTTCTCAAACAAATTGTATTGTATCTAATGATTTTCTTGTATAATGTGACTTTGAACGTTTTCCGCATAACTGCGGTGGTTGGCACTCTATGTTGTGTGTCATTGATATTTATAAATATTGAGTGGTGGAGGGGACTCACATGATTGGATCTTGAGGTAACGGGCCATTTTCGAAAACTATTCTCCAGAGTTGAAGTTACCAGTAAAGCACCAAATAGAATTGGTACAAAACTTTCCAATATCCTACCTTTGAAAAATCTGCGAACATATTCAAGAAGCATCTGAACACTATTTGATTGATTTGTTGTTCAAAATATATTAAAATATGTTTATTCCGTTAACCAGCTGTCGCACCCCTACGAAAGACAACCCTCAGAAGTCGAAACTTGTTCGAGCTAAGGACTAACGAGATCTTACCTTTTAACGTGTGATTCCTAACACTGGTTGGACGATAGCAAGTGAAAATCGATCGTTTAGCCTGCGGCTCGAACCGGCGACTCACACATCGGTCGATTGAGAGAGTGAACAAAGCACCCCCGTCGAACCGCCCGGCTACTAACCTGATAAATGTTTAATTTCAAAGAAAGGTTATCATCAACTTTAGATGTAATGATATCTATGCCTCGTTCTTTTTCAGTTCGATATACTATTTTCTAGTTTAAATACTCTTGACTGTTCATATACAAGAAATGAACTGATTTCATTCATAATTATCTACATTCGTATCAGTTTTTTATAATTGAAATTCAAATTTGCAAGGCTTGCTTAAGGACAAAATAACATGAATTACACAAACGAATAAACTAAGTAGCTAAAAGACGGTTCAAAAAATAGTGTTGAAGAAACAAGTAGATATGACAATTAAAATGAATCATGGAGTAATTGCTATTTCCCCTAAAGAATATTTTCTCCCGAAAAGCATGTTTTTCCAGTTCTTTGAGTTGGATAGATAACCGGTTATTTATTTTGAGAGAAGTCAAGATTGGACTGAATATGAAGCTTATCAGCGTTTCTACTGTTATTATTTTTAATATCACCCCACGTCTCAAATATCTCCAAGTTATTTTGAGTGAAGCAGGCTGCAGAAAATATATACAGTGCTAGTCAAAAGTCCCCTCCCCCCCTCGTATCTTTTGAACGGGTATACTTATAATAATGAAATTTGGAGTGTGGAAATAAACGGATGTAGGCTTCTTAACTGGTCATAACAGGTGACGCAATAGTCATAAATGGCGTCACAAGGCCACTGTGACCAAAAATTTTAAATGGGACCCTATGGCAAGTGACAGCTCGTTTGAAAGGTANGTTTTCGTAGGAGCGGAATGCTTGGATATTTTTTCATGATGATTAATCCATGTTGGTACCTGCTATTTTGAAGCGATTCTCTTCATGAACCCGTGTGGGTTCCAGGTGCATTTTTTCAGTACTTTCTGTTTCCTATTGACCCATTTGCTGATATGGTTCCGTACCAATGACTTTGGTACGGAACCATAGCTGATTCAGGGCCTATATGTATATGGAATTGATGATGCGTGTCTAGCATACTCATCAGCTATTTCATCAGTGACTTCTGAGTATCTAGTATATCATAACCATAAGTTACTATATACGTTACTGACTAATGAAAAATTACTTTTTTCCAAACGATATCTATAACTGTAATACCTTACTACATCAATGTTTTTCATTGTCAGTTTCAAAATGTAAAAAATGGACGTAGAAGATCAATACTGATTTACTGTTATTCCTTTCAGGATGAAAACAGGACGAACAAATCGGGTGAAAAGAAAAGGTGGATTCACGACCCTTCAAGTAAGTTCGTATAATTTAGTGCCCCATAACTCATCTTAAAAAAAACTTTATTTCACGTATCTCTGGGCCATGATATACTATGGAAACGATAGACCAAGTGGTTTTATGTATAATAAAATATGTTAGATCTCGAACACATCGCTTGAAAGAAGAAAACCCTAGGCATGTATTTTGGAACACTTGCTTAAAGTATCTACTTCTTTCGGGTATAGTTCAAGTAAACGATATACTGCAACCTACCTTCCCTGTAATGATATAGTTAGGGAGCTAACTAATTTTGATATTCAATAATCATTTCTGATTATAGTTATCTTCAAAATACAAATTGTTATCCATTGAAAAACTTTGTATTTCATCTTTCCTCGAATTTTCATTCGGTACTCTGATGAGCTGTCGCGAATGATAGGAAGCGTTGTCAAGAACTATTACACTATTCGCATCCAAATTTGGGATCAATGTGTTTTCAAACCATTCCTCAAAAATATTAGCTTCCATGTTCTTATGATAGTCAACATTGCAGTCCTCAAGTTTTTTTCCACATAATTTCAAAGAATTCGGAACCCATACTTTACTTCCTCCGCAATGAACAATGATTAGTCGCGATCCTTTGTTTGCAGGCATGTTAGGCGTACACATTTATGAACCATCTGTCCGCCTTTTCGTAACTGTGTCGTTGTTCTTGTCTATATTTAGTTATTTGTTCCAAGTATTGGTTACGCAATTCCACTATTCTTCTGATTTCCGTAACTGCTTGACGTTTGTTTATTATTTTGAATCTAAATCCTAGTTTCTTTATCCAATTCTGAAGAAGTTTTGTCACAGCAGCTCACGTTATGGCCGGAAGTATTCAATTTCTTCCTTATGATTTTAGTTGTAGGAATCTTATTGCTTTTGTAACAGTCGTATATTGTTTTTTTCAATGATTTTATTAGATGAACATCTAAAGGTTTTGGTAATCCCGTATCACATCGCATCTTGCATTCATAAGGTTTGTTTTTAACTATTTTACGTACAGTTGAGAAAGGAATTTCGGTCAAATCTGATGTTGCTTGTAATAATTTGTATCCCTCGAAAACAAACTTGAGATGTACATTCTTATATACATTGAAACCTACTATCTGCTTTTCAATATACAAATGCATCCGAATATTATTCACTGGTATCTCTTTTTCGCATTGTTCATCGTCGCTATTGGAATCACTACACAGGAAAAAGTTTGCGTTGTCATCACACTCGTTATTACTATTATTACTTGTCCAAGGACGCCACATTTTAAACAGATAATAAAAATTTCAAGTAATACCTGCACCAATATCGAATTTCAACACTCAAATCGCGATTAGTTCCTGAACTGAACATTGAGGACACAACGGCGATACACATCCCCATATTCTATTCGTCACCGTAACATGACTTCAAATTTAATTTTATGCCTCTTCAGCCAATCATAAAACTCGGTTAGTAAAAATTATCCAATACGAACCGCCAATTATTCGGTCCACGTGGACTAGTTCGTAGAGGCATTATTTCTCTGAATTGTTTTTTTTTTGGCTTTTGAGATGCTGATAGCTTCAACTATTCACAATAAAGATTACTTCGACTACCTATACCTAATGTGTATTGTCATGAAAGCAACTTTTGGGTTACAAAGTTCTCAATTTGTCATACTCCAAAATTATTGGCGAACGCATTATGAAGAAACGGTTTATGGTGATGCAAATGACCAATAATTTTTTCACTACTTATTTGTTAAGATAACACAGATGTTTTTTCATGGAGCTATGTAGATATGTTTGAGTCTCAATTCTGTTCTTTTCCTAGATAATTTTCGTCAAGATCAGCCAGATCAATCTCGTGGTCCTGATCAGAGTTCTCGTTTTCCTTTGCCTTGTCTAAAGTTGTTCTATCGAAAATTCTCCCATTTTGGACAGTACGAAGTTTAACAAACTTCTCAAATACAGACTTCAAAGGAACTCTTCAATTCCTCTTTTTTTTATGGTCAAATACTATACTCTTAATGTTTTCATATATGCATATCCTCCTAGAGATTATCTTTTGGAAAGGATCGATTCGAATAGGAACCTTAGGAATTGAATTGTGATACAAAGTGTTCTATTCAAGACTTTTCAATGCCAGTCCCCAATGGGAGGGCATAACTAATTATAAGAGGCAAACACCAACTCCCCTGAGATGCTGCAAAGTCATCAGAATCATCGTCATGGATAATAATGCCTCCAGCGTTACAGCAACAAAGATTTTTTCATAGCAGGCAAAACTTTTCCGACTGTTCTGGTGAAGAGACAAATTTGCGTTTTGGTAGCATTGTGGTCCTCAAGGTGGATTTCTTACCACTTTGTATAGGTCTTCAATAAACAGGTTGCCTTGATTGCTTCACTTGATCTCGCTAATAGTGATTGATGTGTGATTCAACTGGTGAATTTGGCAAGTCGGTGCACGAGTTAAATCCTATGATAGCCAACGTTGGTGATAAAACAGAGGAGATTCAGTTGGTGATAGCCAGCCTAATGCTAGTGGCAAAACGTCGGTAGGATACTTTTATAGAAATGTTTGATGCTACATAGAGGTTTTTCTACTCCAGATCCGTCTGACTTGTACATTCATTCGAAATCTGCAGAAAATACACCAAATTCATGGTTTATTACCTTCTACCTCCCATCTTTACACGATCCATTCCAGCAATCTTATTCATCGTTACAGTTTGTACAGATAATTTGTTTTCTATATATCTCATTATTTGGAATGCCCATAAATCGATTGCCTTCCATTCAGGTGTCCTCTCAATAGACAATGTCCAGTAAATAGCCCTATGATTAATCCATGTTGGTACCTGCTCTTTTGAAGCGATTCTCTTCATGAACCCGTGTGGGTTCCAGGTGCATTTTTTCAGTACTTTCTGTTTCGTATTGACCCATTTGCTGATATGGTTCCGTACCAATGACTTTGGTACGGAACCATAGCTGATTCAAGGCCTATATGTATATGGAATTGATGATGAGTGTCTAGCATACTCATCAGCTATTTCATCAGTGACTTCTGAGTATCCACACCCAGTACAGAGTCAATCTATTCCGGACCACTAGTTTCTTTAGTTCTTTACAGTATTCCAATATCGATGTCACTCTTCGGTTGAAAGTCCCGAGTGAAGTCTGTCTGTTTGTAAGAATTTCTGCCTGCACAGTGTTTTCCAGTACGCCTCTAGTACAATCTCTACCTTTCTCTTTAACCCTTCGATATGTTGTATCCAAATCAGTGGTCAGAATCCAGTATCCCTTCAAGATATTCACATCTCTCGACAGTTGTTAACCATGAGTTTCAATACTTTCAGTTGCCACTGTTCTACAATTCACAATATAACATCAAAGCCGCAAGTCATCTAAACTATTTGAATCACCCTGATCATATTCAAACCGACAAACATAAAAAAATATGCCTGATACTGTTGAGCAAATCAAGCTTCGATGACTCTCAAAATATTCAGTAGTTAAAAAGGTGGTTACTGGAGACTGTTGAAAATGGTTTGACTACCTTGCATTTCTCTCTCTCTCTCTCTCTGGCCGTTGCTTCCCACTCAGGCGCATTTGGCCAGTTTCCTCCTGTCAACAGTTGACATGAGTTTTCGTGCGGGGGATCAGCTGTCTTTCTCGAGGCAATGCTTCCACCCCGTAGTTTTTTCACTCATTTTTTGTTCAAAAAACATCATCACCTCCTCTTTGAAATGCATTTTGTTTTTTCACACACATTGTCCCCTTTACGTGGTTATCCGAACCACTCCGGCCTGGATACCGGCGTGAATAAAGGGGGCCTTCACATCACATTTGGTACCTTCACTTTACACATGTAGGTTACTTTAATTCATACTACACAAAAACGCGCCCCGCGATACCACATGGCATTCAAGTACCTTCTTTATTGGCAGTCGTTATCGGCACGCCAGTCCACTACCATTGCCACCATAGAACTTCTACATATAAATAAAGGCTGAGGACAAAGTGCTATGTGATCCTAAAAACGAAGGATATCAACAAGTTAATACAATGCATACAAAAAGAAAAATAATAATTAATATATGCATAGAGGCAATTAAGCAAATAAGCAAATGTCTATTTTGTTTTTGAAACAGTTCACTGAGTCGGAATTCATAACATCGTTGGGTAAGTTATTCCATGTTTCGAAAATATGATTCATCAAAAAATATTGTCTCTGGCTCGTTGCGAATTTTTCCTTTTTTAATTTGAATGCGTGACCACGTAACCGCGAATCATTGTTGAAAATAAAAAGTTCTTTCTGATTAGCATAGTTATACTCAGTTATACGGAAAGATATGATGAGGTCCCCACGGAGTCGACGTTGGTCAAAAGCTAGCAGTTGTGCAATCCTTAGTCTTTCGGGATAGGTTGGACGCACTTCACTAAAAGTCATACGTGTGGCTCGACGCTGTACATTTTCCAACAAGTCCCTATCGCGTACCAGAACAGGACACCACACTGGACCTGCATACTCCATGATTGGACGAACGTAGGTTTTGTAGAGTTTTATGGAACTTGAATGTGATAGATGGAGGAACGTCTTGTGGATGAGATAAATGAGTGTGTTTGCGCGTTTGCATGTGGATATTATATGTTCGGACCAAGTTAAGTCAGTATTAATAGCCACTCCCAAGTCTACATGTGAGGACACTGTACGTAACGATCGACCGCTTATTGTGTACGTATGGAGTGGACTGTTCTTTCCTCGATGAAGTACGACGCATTTGTCGACGTTAAGAGGTAAAAGCCAATCCTCGCACCACTGACTAATCGAGTTGAGGTCTTCTTGAAGGGAATGATGTTCGACTAAGGCATTTGCATACAGTTTAGTATCATCGGCATAAAACGACTTGCTGGACTTTATGTGAAGAGCAAGATCACTTACATAAACAACGAAGAGGTGCGGACCAAGAACAGATCCCTGAGGAACTCTACTTGTGATTTGTCTGCGCGAAGAGAAAGAGTGGCCCACTTTGACCGTGAAAGTTCTATCTGTCATGTAATTTTCAATCCATAGATTTAGTTGGCCTCGAATACCGTGTGTGTCAAGTTTGCGCATTAGTCTCCTCACTGGGACCCTGTCGAAAACCTTGGCAAAGTCAAGATAAACGATATCTGTCGGTATTTTTCTATCGTAAGCTGTCGCCCAAAAGTTCATGCACTCTAGTAGATTGCTGGTGGTTGATCTACCTTTGACGAAACCATGTTGTTAGGTGGTATGATTGCGTTTTTTGTTAAAAATTCTAACATATCTTCTACGATGATGGATTCCATTACTTTGGAAGGTACGGATAAAAGACTAATGGGCCTGTAGTTAATTGGATTGGGTTTATCACCTTTTTTGAAAATAGCGGTGACAGATGCCTTCTTCCAAGCCCGTCGGATGCGAGATTTTGCGAAAGAGACTGACATGATTGTTGACAGCAAAGAGCAGAGAGTTTCGGCAAACTTTTTGAGAAAAAAGGGGCTCATTCCGTTCAAACCAGGGTATGAATTCGATTTAATGTTCAATAAATGATTTTTAATTTTTTCCGAAGTAAACGTATAATGACATTAGTCAGATTATCACGTAGTCGTTCTGCTATAATTTTTGGTAATTAGTCATCTCGAGGCTCAACCGTGAAGGAGCTTGTGAAAGAATCGGTGTTCAGGTTAGATCGTATGAATTTGTACAGTTTTTTATTGTTTTCAGAGTCTGCAATAGATTCTTTGAACTCACGACGTGAAGATCGTATTGTTGATACCAAGTGTTTTGAGAAATTTCGATGAGCTTGGTAATCTTCTGTGGCTTTTGATCTTTTGTATCTTTTTCAGAGTCTTTTTTTGTGATTTATGAGTGACATTATTTCGGCATTGATCCATGGTTTGTGAGGATTTTTCCGGCATATTTTGTTGCGGGAGTTCTTGTCAGCAGAAGCAGTTACGGTCGAGTATAATTTTTCCCAGAGAATATCAATGTCATCACATGCGTTAAACAGTTGTGTTCAATCGATGGTAGAAAGTTCCTCGGGTAACTGATCAAAGTCAATTATTTTGAAAACTTCGGTTTCGTACTTGTTTGGCATGTGAATGTTGAGCTGAACATTTGCGTAGATTACTGCATGGTCCGATAATCCAATAGGTGGTAGGATTTCATGATCTGTGATGATGTTTTCATTGTTGGTAACAATGAGGTCAAGGACAAATGGCTCGTTGTTGATTCGGAATCTAGTTGGTTCAGTGATGAGTTGAAAAAGGTTTGAATCGGCAACGAAATGCATGAAATTACTCGTGGCGATATTTGTGTCAGGTATACTATTGATGGGATAAGTGATATTGGGGTAGTTAAAGTCACCAGCAATGATAAGGTTGTCAAGGATCGATAGTTGATTTGGGTAATTGATCAATTGGACATTGGCTTCATGGGATACATCACTAGGTCTGTAGATACATACAATATTTATGCTGACAGTTTCCTTGGTAAGGCTGACATGTAAGACCTCCACGCCTTGAATCAAGGCAATATCTTGTTGAAATGCAAAATCGGTTATGATCTCATTGCATATATATATACATACTCCACCACCGACACGATTTAATCTGTCCGCTCTGTAAATACTGTAGCCTCGTATGTTAACTAATAAATTTGGGTCGGTTGGTTTAAGCCATGTTTCGGTTAGGAGTATTATGTTAGGTTTGAGATCAACTATGTCACATATGAGTTCGTTAAATTTAGCAGATAATGAGTATAAGTTAGTGTAAAGAATTTTCCAGCATAGTTACGGCAGTTGTTGGTTGTTGTTAGAGGTTATTTTGTGTCCGAAAGTTGATGGAGGTTATTTTGGGAATGCCATGTATATATTTATTGGTGAGATTTTGTTTTCCATTTGCTTTCCTCGTGTCAAGTTCCCCGCGCAGTTCGATAGTTGATTTGGGTAATTGATCAATTGCACATTGGCTCCATGGGATACATCACTAGGTCTGTAGACATGTAAGACCTCCACGCCTTGGATTAAGGCAATATCTTGTTGAAATGCAAAATCGGTTATGATCTCATTGCATAAATATATACATACTCCACCACCGACACGATTTAATCTGTCCGCTCTGTTAATACTGTAGCCTCATATGTTAACTAATAAATTTGGGTCGGTTGGTTTAAGCCATGTTTCCGTTAGGAGTATTATGTTAGGTTTGAGATCAACTATGTCACATATGAGTTCGTTAAATTTAGCAGATAATGAGTCTAAGTTAGTATAAAGAATTTTGCAGCATAGATACGGCAATTGTTGGTTGTTGTTAGAGGTTGTTTTGTGTCCAGAAGTTGATGGAGGTTATTTTGGGAATGCCATGTATATATTTATTGGTGAGATTTTGTTTTCCATTTGCTTTCCTCGTGTCAAGTTCCCCGCGCAGGTCCTTCAGTAGCTGAATTCGGGAGGGAGTTTGGTCACTTATGATGGACAGTTTTGAAGTAGAAACTTTCTCGATTAAACTTTTCTTATTCCTCAAAATAGTTCGAGCATCGTATTCATTTGGTATTACCAACTTAATCATGCGGGGGTACTTGTTTGTAGGGTTGGGTTTGCCTACTCGAAAAATGGTGATTGGGTTAGCTGGACAGTTTACAGTATTCAGTACCTCTGCCACTACAGATTTATCGTGCTCTTTCTCAGCATTTATGTCTACTATTGCTTCAGGGACCCTCTAATAAACACGTTTTTAGCTCGATTCAGTCTTGCCAGTACCTCTTGGATAACAACATCAGAGGACTGCACAGACTCAGCATTTTCGCCTACCTTGATTTAGTTACTAATAATTACACAGATCATCTTCTGGAACCACAATGACGACACTATATTAGCATAGAACACAATGAAAAGAATACATAACCCAAGAACGTATTAGTTAATATTAGAGGATGGCAGTTCCGCCCATATAATCTAAGAATAAAGTACAAATTAACTCCTACTACTCGATACGGACCTGACACGCAGATTTTAACTTTTCGTGTACTATTTCCATTCAAACTAATATACGTCTTTGCTTGAATATTGCAGGTGACCTCTGTCGACCGCTGAATTGCAAAAAGAAAGAGATATGCCTATTGGAAGACACGTTCACTGCCGTCTGCGTATCCAGAAAGGAACTCAAGAAAAATGGGTGAGTACCCTCGAGGGAAATAAAGAAATAAAGAGGAATACATTACAATTGGAGTTATTTGTTCGTTGAGTGGGTGGTGGTTGAAAGAGGGATTGTTGTGGATGAAGAGATTCAAGAGATTGCCATGCAGGTATCGCGAGAGAATAAGCCCTCATTAGGAAGGGGATCTCAAGTGTTATTTGAGGGGAGTTTGTCTTGAAAAACGTCACACGATTGTCTCTTTCGAGAAGGAATAATCATTAATACATGTTTGATGTTTTTCCTTGGATTCATTACATCACATGCTTCTAGCAACTTTTGATATTTTTGACCTGACGCAATCTAAAAAATTATTTTAGTTCGAGTACGTGAACCTCTGAAGGGGCTTATTTGTCATATTTATAAAAACTGTTCGTAAAAGATAGAAATTGTAAAAAATAAAATTTTAATCCTAAGCTTTCTAAAAACCTCAATTTCTTGTTAAAAACACCTCGATTGCAAATATGTAAAATTCTTTGATATACGTCTGTTTATATTACGCAATGACTTTTTGGCGTGAATTTGAAACCTTGTTTGTTCCCAAGATAGGCACAACAGAACAGACGGGTTCGAATCCCGGTCGGCAAGACTGGTTCAATGATGAACTGATTTTTGAGTCATGCCATACAAAAACAAACAAATAATATGATAATGTTTTATTTCAGAGACATAGTAGTTCCCAAATCCGCAGCTGAGACCGAAGAACCGAAAGAAGAAGATGACGACGTATTCTACGATACAGAGGATGATCTAGACAATGATAGTGAAGATTCTGGAGAGTCAGTGATGTGAGAATATACAATTACCTTTTATCGACAATGTATTTTGATTGAGATGTCAGTGTTTCTTCCTTTTTGTTTTTGTCAAAACACCCTTAATGGTCATGTATCAAAAACAAGTGTCTTATGGGTGTAATGTAAGAATTAAGACATCTCAGGAGTCAGTGTTGCACAAATTGAATTTAGCAAACTTTGACATCTTATCGTGGAGTTTTCAAATGTCTTTGACTTTCCCGATGGACAAATGACCAATTTCATTTTTATTACTTTTCCAAAGCCCCTGAAAGTTATCCGTGATCGAGACATTCCTAAAAAAGCTCTATCGTGTCGCAAAGATAAATACATTTAATAAATAGGAATCAGGTAAGTCCATAACAGTGTATTGTTATTTTGGTAACACAAGTATAACAAAATGTATCTCATTAGGTGACATATTTGTGAGAGAAATTAAAAGTAATTACGATAGTATGCTATAAAAATTGGACACTATTTCAAATTCGATTACTATCAGACAGGTAGATGTACCTCAAAGATACTATCATCTATTCATTCAATTCTCAATTGAACTCATAAACTATCCGTAATATTATCAAATATAAATGCAATTACACACTTCTTACAAAAATATTATAAAAGAAAAACAAAATTGAAAAGAATATTTCTCTGGAATCAGCAATCCAAAATCTACCCGAATCACTTCTGCACTTCTTTACAATAAGATAATCCTATAGAGACGTGTGCTGGTGATGTCTTTAAAACAACGGAAAACAAAACAATATTTTTTAGAAGAAGTGATCAGGCAACTCTTTCCTGGAGAATAATTTTGGCGCCCTTAATGTGAATCTGTTGTTTCCATCATATCACGATTCTAAGATATTCTAACCTAAAAGTGTAGAATAGGTTTTTTACCAAGAACAGATCCCTGGGGAACTCTACTTGTGACTTGTCTGTGCGAAGAAAAAGAGTGGCCCACTAGCCCACTAGAGTGGCCTAGTGGCCTAATATGTGGGCCACTCTAGGCCACTAGAGTGGCCCACATATTAGAAGTTATGTTGAAATCTTTTTTTTTTCTCGCTGGATTCGTTGAGGCTTTACAAGCATTTTTCTTCAGAAAAATGTAGTTCGGTCTCTGTTTCAAAATTTTGTCTTGTCACGTTATATGATTTTTAGAATTGATACCAATTTTTTTCCAGATGCAAACCTTGCCCTGTTGTGAAACCAATTTTCTTGTGCGGATCAGACAACAGAACGTACAGTTCCTTATGTCGGCTCGACTACCACAACTGCATACATCGAACAAGTATAAGAGTAGGATGTAAAGGATTCTGTCCGTGTGTAGGTGAGCAGCGTCAGTTGGTATTATTTTTCTCATATCTCATTTACCTCCTATCATATCAACAACGAAAGTTGAGAAAAAGTAACAACCCTTCTTATTATTTCAAGAGATAGGTACGCAAAAAATACTATAAGAGGTTTGAGATATTCAAAAATGAACTGCAAAGAATTGGTAGTATTTTTGGTACGAAAGTAAGGTCTACTTTCCTATGTAAGTACATCCTAGGAGCAACGGCCATTGTCTACTTTCTAATGAATTAATCTACCTGAAAAGGTCAGGTATAAATTCATTATCTATATGAATAAATTAAATTTCCGAAAATACCGTAATTATAATTAACTTTTCTTACCTGAACTATATATGTGTTCTTTTATGCGGGCTTTGAACATTCTTCCAGTTTGACCTATATAAAACATAGGACATGACCCACATAAATACACTCCCGATTTTTATGAAACAGAACTATTTTCTTTGTTGTTCTCAATGTGCATGCCTGAGTTGTTTTTGGTTTTGAGAACAATATTTACCTTTGCTGTNTGTTGTTCTTAATGTGCATGCCTGAGTTGTTTTTGGTTTTGAGAACAATATTTTCACCTTTGTTGTGCAAAAAATTTTAAATATTCGTAGTGGGTTGGTCTAAGTAGGTTAAGGTTCTATAACTTTTATCCTCATCTCTTCAAATGGTATGAATTGTTCACACTGAATTTTGATTTCAAATTGGTGTGGTTTTGATAATTGCGATAAGTTTTTCGGATATTTTAACTGATCAATGAAATTCAAGATATTACACTCCCGGATGATGCCAAATTGATTCCATTCGATGTAAAGAATCTGTTTCCCAGTATTCTTCCGAATGAAACGATTACTCTTCTAGATAATCTGTTGGACGAAAGGTTTATCAATCCTGTAGTGAAACAGGAAATATCAATCACGAAGAAACAAATTTATATTACCTTTCAAAGATTACTTCAATAACGAATTCAATTTTATACAATTCCAAGGAAATATTCAATCATGTGACTATAAAATGAATATTTTTCCTCCATTTTCTTCCTAGAACTGTTCAAAAAGGCGTGTGAATAAATAGATGAGTTTTACCTTTGTTAATTTCCTTTTTTGTCATCGAGCAAAATGTATCGATTCGTCATTTAAAAAGCATTTAGAATAAGTGAGTTCATGCATTATAAGTAAACGTATGCAAAAACCATTCTATTTAAACAGTATTTCATGAAATAATTATAAAAATCTAGTTTAATTTAAACATTCTGAAAATATTTCCATAAATTGTTCTAATATAATGACAGAAATGTTTCCAATACATTTTTTAATAGGGGAGCCCAAGCGGGGATTTCGGGAATTACTAAAGCGCGGCATTGTGCGGTTCAGAAAATGTTCTATAAGTGCTGCAAAACTAAAATCTCCAGCTGTTATGTTGGAAATTGTATATATTATATAACATTTTTTTCTTATTATCATCTAAGCTTTGCAACCTAAAATGTCTCAATGACGCTCGAGTAAATCCCCATTTTGCATCGTGGGCTCCCCTGCTATTTGAATATGTATGAAAATGCTTGCTATTGTATACCGAAACACGTGTTGCGGATTTGTAAAAATTCCAGTGAAAATCTCACAATAAAGTGTTATTTCGATACTCTTCGATGTTAGGATATTTCTTTAATTTTTAACGCAGAAATCCTGTTGTTCAGTGAAGGATCACAGTAATCTTTCTTGTGTTTGAATAAAAAGAGCATGCCAAATATATATATTTGTTTCATATTTCGAAAGTAACTGTTAACTTTGTGTGCGGATCGTTTCATAAAAAATGATTTTTTCAGGATAAAAACAATATGATGTACGCCGAAGACAAAGAAAGACTTCGCGGGTACAATGAAGTTCTAGATAACAAAATATACAGCGGTCCAATTCTTGGCACTCCCATATACCCTCCCAAACAGTGCTCTCCGGCGGCTCTACAAGCTATGGGAAATCGATTACTGGACTGGTTCTCGGTTGTTATGGCCGATTCATCGAAAAGAAGGCGAATGAAAAACAAATCAAAAGGTAAGCTTTTCTTAAAACCCTAATGGAAAAATAATATATAATCTTGAAACGGATACAAGTATGCAGAGAACTCACTTAAAACTCTCACAAGGTATAATTTCTAAACTGCGTTTTAAATCTGCAAGCCAATCGATTCAATAGAAGGCTGCAAACCGTGCACGGTTTGCAGCCTTCAAAATATTTGGTGAGGCAAATATATTACGTATAATAGAATTCCGGAATGTCAATAATTGTTCGTCTACTACTGCGGTAGACATCAAAGGTGACGTTGTGATGGTCGCTGTGCCCGAGTATTTGACTATGGTTTTATATTATTATCAAGGACAGGTAGCCATATTTCATTACTGTTCATTGCCTCTTTTTTCTATTGAAATTATCCGTGTGTTTTTTAATGTATATACTCTCTATTCTCTATATACTCTTCGATAGTAATTTTGAATTTTATCGATTGTTACCGTATTTTCGAATGAGTCAATGTGAGTGCCTTCTTTGTTGAGAGCTACAGCTAATTTATCGGATTGTCCGAGTCTTTTTCCCGTGGTTCCAGTGTAGACCGATCCGCAGCTACTAGGAATCCGGTATGCCTCAGGTGTTGCTAACGGTTCTCTGGTGTCTTTAGCTGACCTTAGACTTTTTTTGATTGCTTTTGTCTGCCTGAATATTGGTTTCTCCAAGATTCTCTTAATCTGGTCTGTTACATTTATAACATAGGGAAGGAAAGCTTTTGCCTTGACTGGCCAATGTGGAGTTTATTTGACTTTCTCTCCTCTGGGTCGAATTTCCTGCTAGAATTCTCCTTCACTGTGCCCATTTCCTTTGAAAGCATTTTTTTTTTGATTGAGTTCCTCAGGAAGACTCTCAGGTTCACAGATACGTCGTGCTCTCTCAACCAACGTTTTTATTACCCCTCTCTTTTATTGTGGCTGTGGTAGTTAAAGTGTCTTTTTGAACTCAACTTCAACTCAACTTTGTTGATCTTTATTCGGAAAATATTGTTACGTTTTTCACCGTGGGTTGACCAACAACTGACTACACTAAATAATCAAACTTAACTTTATTTCACTTTAAATACAACAAACACTTCCACTAAAACTTCAACTATCATTTGACTGTCTATCGCCTTACTGGATCACTTCGCGTACCGCACTGTAGGTTCCACTTGACTGTGTCGATATCCTCGTGGCTAGCCTTTGAATATCGCAATCGAATGCCTTAGAAATTTTGCCGAAGTTCCGTTGAAATCGGTAGTAATATTCTCGCTGCTTCTAGAGTGGCAGGAAATCATCGTACATTTGCGCGCTCTTAGCTACGTCACGTTTGGCTTATGGTTACCAATGGCGGCCGGCGGTATTTTCTTTCGGGCATGATTAACAACAATACGTTGCATACTCGATAATCAAGTATAGGCATGTGGCCAATTCATCGATATCAATTGGATTTGGTACTTTATTTCGAAGTCATACCAAATTTCTAAATAATAGGTTGGGTACTATTCGATAGTTAGTAACTTCCAACTAGTGCTGAATATTTTCACACACGTTAAGCAGTTTTTTCTAGACTTGATGGATTAAAAGAACAAAATGGAATTTGTTTTCAAAATTTCATGTTACAATATAGAAGTTTGTGATTTACCTACCGTTCAAAAAGATTTTCATTCATATTTTCCCTTTTCAGCATTTACTACATTATATGAGTATGTATGCCTTGGTTACTCAAAGTTTCAAAACCACACGAAGTTTTTGGTTTACTTTTCGAACCTTGACTGCGATCGTCTTATTCATTATTCATTATTAATTATTTTCAAAAAAAACACAAGCACTACAGGAAAATGTTTAATGTACTCTAATAGCGATGCCTGTGCGAAAGTAGCGATTCATGTTGGATTTGAATCGCTGGAGGTTAAATTCATTTGGAAAAACGTTCTCAGGAAGTTTAAACAGTGAAGTTCGAGGTGTACAGAGTGGAACCTCAAAATGATGAGCAGCTATAGTCCGTCGCGTATTTCTGATATGTACCGCTCTTGGTGGAATCAAATGTGCCAAGTCACTTGAGCAACTCCCGAGAAAGTATCATGAAATCGGTTTTCTCCAAAATGATAAATGTATTCGAACCACTTATAATAATGTCAGGACAGATAATTCCGGTTTCTGCTTCGACAAGTTTGTTGGGGGTTAAAATGGAACCAATGTGTCTTGTCATAATTTCTTATTCATTATTCATTATTAATTATTTTCAAAAAAAAACACAAGCACTACAGGAAAATATTTAATGTACTCTAATAGCGATGCCTGTGCGAAAGTAGCGATTCATGTTGGATTTGAATCGCTGGAGATTAAATTCATTTGGAAAAACGTTCTCAGGAAGTTTATTCACTTAAACGCAGTTCTCCAAATGAAAGAGTTCTTAAACAGTGAAGTTCGAGGTGTACAGAGTGGAACCTCAAAATGATGAGCAGCTACAGTCCGTCGCGTATTTCTGATATGTACCGCTCTTGGTGGAATCAAATGTGCCAAGTCACTTGAGCACCTCCCGAGAAAGTATCATGAAATCGGTTTTCTCCGAAATGATAAATGTATTCGAACCACTTATAATAATGTCAGGACAGATAATTCCGCTTTCTGCTTCGATAAGTTTGTTGGGGGTTAAAATGGAACCAATGTGTCTTGTCATAATCATGTCGCTGGAATTGCAAAAGCTGCTTCTCAAAAGCTTGGAACGCTGTTCCGAACCAGAAAACTGTACACACCTCAGCAACTGCTGATGCTTTGTACAGCTCAGATCAGACCTCCTTTGGAGTATCATTTTCGTGTATGGAGCTCCTCCCCTTAGCATACCCTGGAGCTGCTGGATTCCATCCAGAAAAGAGCCACCCAACTGATTGGAGAGACATATTCCCAACCTTTCTTCAATGTTCCAAAGTTGCAAGTGATGTTCGTGTCTCCAATTAGGCGAATGGGTCTTCTTTGGATGGAATCCAGTAGCTTCAGGGTATGCTCAGAGGTAGAACAATACTCCAAAGAAGGTATGATCTGAGCTTTATAAAGCATCAACAGTTGCTAAGGTGTGTGCAGTTTTCTGGTTCGAAACATGATTGTGCCAAGACATATTGGTGTCCATTTTAACCCCCAACAAACTTATAGAAGCAGAAAGCGGAATTGTCTGTTCTGAAAAAACCGGTGCTTCTTAGGTTTTTGTGGCATTGAACCTGACAACTTTCACCCCAATGCGAAATCACTTCTAGATCCTCCCCTCCTGCTGCCGGTGAAGATGTGCATCCGCAGTCGGCAAATTTATACGCCTTCAAAAGATTCATTCCAGTCAGAGGAACTGAACTCACTTGCCTTATTTTCTCAAAGTCCCGAGTTTCGTTGCATTTTGTCGCGCTCTTGAGTTAATTAATGTTTTTTTTCTCTTCGCGATATTATGGTGTTAGTTCTATTGTAATTATAAATGAACACAGTTCTCTGAGAACGTCTAAAATTCAACACAAAATTGTGAAAAGGACTATTCGATATAGTGACCGATATGAAGAGTCCTCCAGTTTTGATTTTTGCTATACGCCGCCGGGCTCCAGACTTGTATCATATTTAGCTCGGACTTTACTTCATATTCTACCAAACCTATCATTTCTATTAATCGTTATTTCAGTTCACTTCCCGATGGCGTGTAAGGGCGAAGTGCGATGGATGTTCCAGCACTTAGACACGAACGTTGACTCGAAATTATCGCTGCAAGAACTCTACGATTTGGAACACGACCAGAGCGAAGTGTGTTTGAAGCCGTTCCTGCAACAGTGCGATGCCGACAGAGATGTCGTCGTTACGCCGTCGGAGTGGTGCAGATGTTTCCAGAGAACAGAGAGGCCTTGCGTAGCAGTTAAACACAAAATTACGTCCGATTTCTTGGGTGAGTTTCCCAACAAACACGGTTAAGTCCCTAAAATATTATGACAGATTGTGTCATACGATGTCAAAATGTGAGGAGCGGTGTCACAATGTGACGTGCGATGTCAATGTGATGCGCGATGTCACATTTAAATCACAAATATGTCGCGACGACGTACTATGCGATGTAGCTAGCTTTAAATGCTTCTTTGGACTCTGCTTTTTGCGTTTATGCACGAACAAAATATTCAGTTGGTACCAGTGATTTCAAACATATTCTCCAAATTCTTTGCTCCTCCTGAACGGGCCTTAGACGACGCGATTTTTAGTTATGTGCAGTTGAGTTTTTAGACAATAGTGGGGGTTGCACAATATATTGTATGGATTAAAGTTATTTTGAAATATGTTGGCAATATTGTGCATTACTCTATTAGTTGGTATCAACACAAAGTTTCATTTGGGATTTATTGAAGTTTAACATAAATTTCCGGCTTTATAGGACCTGAAATGAAAAGATAACACGAATGGCGTTAACAAAATACCCACATACCGTCAAGCAAGGTGTCAAAAAGTTATTTCTAAGCGAACAAATTCCCGGAAAGAGCAACCTTTTGATACTGATGAGTGGTGCAGGTTTAAAGCAAGTCGAAACTTCGTTTTGGTTGAAGAAATGCGGTTTTTTCATTCTCAAGCGAGAAGTTCAACAGCTAAAGTCACTGTCCACGCATGAAAAGTTGCGAAAATCACACCCAGTTCATCGAGTTTTTTTTTCATACATGCGCAATTCGTGATGGCGTAAAATATTGGACAACCATCAATATGGTTTCCATACAGTTTCAATACAGTTATGCAATATGTGGATGTACAGCCGTTAAAATATTATGCAATTCATATTGCATATTAGTATGGTCCACTTTATAACGCATCATATTTGAATAATATGGTGCGTTATATTTCAATAAAATCTCGCACTGGTCAAATAACACAGATATGAGATATCATAAATAACTACTCAACAAAGTTTTGTTTATCTCAGGTGACATCGCGAAAATGTCAATGTCACAGATATGTTTGCTGGGTTGTCACTACCCCTTATTACGAAAAAAACGTATTATTATCCCAAAGGAAACGATATAATATAACCGGTGAGAGGTTGGCAATGTTCCATGCGAAACTTATCAGCAATACCCCCACTGACTTTCAACAGGGAATCTAATGACTCAATTGGATTTGACTTTGATCTTCACTTTCAAGGTTAACTTCGGCTTTAAGAAAGAACCGCTATTTTTAACATCGGAATCGAACATTTTACGTTCTAATATACATCTATGTCTGTGTTAACTTTAATTCTACTTTTATCGTAACCCAAAAACAAACGACGTGGACGTAGAACGATTCTGTACCCTTCAGGGTGCCTTTATTTGACCTCTAATTTTCGTTATTCCTAGAACTAAATACATATTTGAACTTAAAATGTTCTGCTCTTTTCGATTCCGGTATCAAAACAAAGTTGACCTTGAAAATGGGGTTTACGGTTAAATCCAATTGGATTATTGTATTTGTCGTTAGAAGTTACTTATTTTTCGCGAGTGCTCAGCAGATCCGCCAAAATTTCTAGGGGTTTCTATATTTTTTCTCACTGTGTATATATTCCCAATAAACAATAGTTTATAATTCATACGCGTGTCTTCGTTTCGGACCTAGTTTCACTAAGAATTTACGTTATAGTGTTTTCTTTCCTACATTTTTATCATATATCAACATCTAACACAAGTTCCACGGATCATTATATTATAGGCGTCTCATACATTCATAAATTTGAAAGTAATTGTTCGAAGAATATGCTACACTATAATCTGTATTTCACAATAAATTTTCCCCAGCGGGGTTATTATCATCAGTTTCTGAATAACCTTCGTAATAATACAGGGCATTCTGAAGGAAAAAGTTGGAACAGGTAACGAGAATGAAAATATTTACATACTAGCTATAAAAACAAAAGATTCGTTTTGCAGTTCGACTATTCACAATTATCACCGATTTTTTAGTTCATGAGTTGATGGCAGCTTGTCTCAATATATAGATTGGTCGATTGACAAACCGGTTGAAATCTCAACTACAGCTATTATCATAGTTTTCACCTCGTATTACATTCACTAACGATCGTGGGAATGGGACCTACTCGTATTAGTTTTTTTTGTAAACCTATCAAGAATGCCTTGGAGTCTACACCTTCGAAGTAAAAGTACCCGTATTCAAACGTTTTCAAACTATGTCCACCATTCATTTAAACCCTGTCAATACCATAATTGTTGATGGGACACTTTCACAATCCTGAGAAATGAATCAAAAACTTCTAATTCCCTTCTATGGCTTATAGTTGGGTTAGGTTAGGACCACAGTTAGTGGGTCTCTTCGACCTTCCACCGCAACCCACAAGGGTTTATTGTGGCTCACACATATTCACACCAAAAAACCAAATAAACCCAGCTTCTTGACGAAGCCGATTGGTTGGTATGGTGAGTGGTGAGTTCTGCCGAACTCTAAAGACCTGATTCGGTCCCCAGCGGGGCAGGCACAAAGTATATGCTGTGTTAATGAGGTAGTCGGATAGTCAAGTTGCAAGATTCCCACCATGATACCCACGACAACCTTCCTGTCAGCTACATCTGACGATACCTTAGATTCAGCCGTGTAGGGCTTTTTCGCCTCTGGTTTTGGTGATTTGTTACTTGATCGCAAACGTTTGCTAACTTGCTCATGGGGGGGTTTGTTCCTCCACCTGAGACAGATTCTGCGTACGCCGCTCAAGAATTTGGTGCAAGGCGGTTTAAGGTAGCCCGCTCTCAAGGAGACTAGCTATTATCATAGTTTTCACCTCGTATTACATTCACTAACGATCGTGGGAATGAGACCTACTCGTATTAGTTTTTTTTGTAAACCTATCAAGAATGCCTTGGAGTCTGCACCTTCGAAGTAAAAGTAGCCGTATTCAAACCTGTCAATTCCGTAAGTAGTTGATGGGACACTTTCACAATCCTGAGAAATGAATCAAAAACTTCTAATTCCCTTCTATGGCTTATAGTTGGGTTAGGTTAGGTCCACAGTTAGTGGGTCTCTTCGACCTTCCACCGCAACCCACAAGGGTTTATTGTGGCTCACACCTATTCACACCAAATAAACAAATAAACCCAGCTTCTTGACGAAGCCGATTAGTTGGTATGGTGACTGGTGAGTTCTGCCGAACTCTAAAGACCTGATTCGGTCCCCAGCGGGGCAGGCACAAAGTATATGCTCTGTTAATGAGGTAGTCGGATAGTCAAGTTGCAAGAGTCCCCCATGATACCCACAACAACCTTCCTATATGATGGTTTTTGCACGTCAGCTACATCTGACGATGCCTTAGATTCAGCCGTGCAGGGCTTTTTCGCCTCTGGTTTTGGTGATTTGTTACTTGAGCGCAAACGTTTGCTAACCTTCTCATGGGAGGTTTGTTCGTCCACCTGAGACAGATTCTGCGTACGCCGCTCAAGAATTTGGTGCAAGGCGGTTTAAGGTACCCCGCTCTCAAGGAGACGACTCAGCCGTTTCCTGGCTGCACCACCAAACCTTTTTTTATGGTTTAGTTCTTGGATTAGGAGTTGGGGAGTTGAGAAACTCTCGCTCTTGAACTAAATTTACAGGTAGGTCACTTGGAGTCGTTAACTCGACATCCATCTCCTCTATAGACTCAGCGTCAGAAATAATTTTTAAGTTTACTCTGTCTATAAAAGTCCCACGAGTAGCTAGGGAAAGAAGGTTAATCACAGCAGAGCCCCGCATACCGCGACAAGGGGATGCTAAGACGAGAGGGCGCCCGGTATCTCGAAGGTTCCGTAGAGACAACTGATAGGCTCAGTGTCATTCATCCTCTCGGCACGGATACACACACCTCAGGATTAAGCCATCGTTGGGATGTCATTCAGTTAGGAAATAACAGAACCAGAAGTGATTCTGTCATTTCCGTATCCAGCGAGGCTACGTGGAAGCAGGCATCCGTTGGCCGGATTGGCCCCACATCCCGAGCCAATGCACGCGCCAAAAAAAGTATGCACAGTGGTTCAGACAGTGAAACATGAACAAGGACATCCAACCCGTCTACTACTGTAGCCCAACAACACAACTGTTTGTTATCAAGCTTCGAAGGGTGAATAAACGTCCTGGGGTGAGCCAATCTTGGTAGATTTTGCCAGAAGTCCATAAATCTTCTTGTCACCCAGGTGTTCAATGTTTGTTTGGCAAAGCCTATAGCGATGCCATTGGCAAGTTCTGGTCCGATAAGGATGCACCCTCCTTTACAAAGGAGTCAACAGCCTCATTGCCTTCTAGGCCAGTATGGCTAAGAATCCAGATCAGACACAAGTCTTTCTATCGAGGAGAGTCGTTTTTGGCAATCTGCTACCAATTTAGACGTTGCTCGGTAGGAGCCAAGAGCTTCCAACGCCGCTTGACTGTCTGAGAATATTTTTATTGACTTGTGAATGAGGTTGGATACTTCCAATCTTTCGTACACAATTCAATAGCGTAAATTTCCGCTTGAAATACAGTCGCAGGTGGATATCTCTGTCCTGAACATATCCATCTGTGAACCAACAACTATCTTCTCTTATTTCTGCTTCACCTAAAAAATGGTATACTTGCAGTACGAATTGAATAATTTCAACATTGACTATTTTATTTCCGAGATACAGAAATAGTTTAACCTTTCTACTTCTTGTCTTCAAACAAAAACTGTGGGAACTTCCGAAGAAAGGAAGAAAGACGTTAACTCCAAAATAAACTTTTTGCCAAAGTGTGAATTTCGCACAGAATTTCTTTCAGATATAAATTGGAAGAGAAAACCCTTTTGAATAAACTATTTCCACATGAACATTGAATTAATAATAATCTTTCAGTAATCCCAAGAAGCAAAAATATTCATAACAGGGACACAATTCAAATAGTAATTGAATAAATTGTATCAGCCTGAGGGAGGGGAATGAATAGTTCCAAAAAATTCGGCGGATCAAGTATCTCCCGGAGCATAAGGTCTTACATTCTTATTCATTATTACGTGTTCAATTGTTGTCAGACCTGTTCAGATCCGACTTTCCCCCTCGGAACAAGCACTGGCACCAGTGTAGGAAGGAAGACGGTGCGTCAGTTTTCTTCAGACCGACCAGACCCGTTCAGACCGACTCTTCGAGAGAAATTTCGCTTCCAATGTCGGACTAGCCTAAGGCAACTGTAGCGGCTGGTCAATACCATAAGTCTGCCTAAGGTGGTAATTGAGCACTCACAGTTATGTTCATGGATATAAAATAAGCAAATTAATGACATTAATTATTATTACTTTGTGTCCCTCAGGATGATGCTTCATATTATAACTGAGTTTTATACTATTGATTTTGTTCATTTCCTCAAGGTTTTTCACCAAATATTTGATGACTCTCACTAGTTTTCGTACTACGGTCGTTCAGAAAATGTTGCAGTTGCTGAAGTAATCACCTTTTTTTTCAGGGGTTTATGTTCCAGACTGTGATAGTCAAGGATACTATAATCCTGTCCAATGTCATGGCGCAATCGGGATGTGCTGGTGTGTTGATAAACATGGTGTAGAGTTTGCGAATACCCGCACCCACGCCAAACCCAATTGTGGTAAGTTCTACTCTCCACATCTACTTCAAACTCAGGATCATTTTTTGAAGTATAGGATTTTTCATTAAGTGCTTTCTATCTTTAAATTCAAATAAAACATAGTGTGTGTGAGATATCATCGAAATTTTTTATTCGTTTGAAAGATCTTTTGATGCCATTATGTGTGGAATATAACATCGTTCAAATGTCCGCTACGGTTTCTTTGGGTAGAGTGCATCCGAAACGTCTAATTTTCCATGACTCTGGCGCATAAACCAGGCTGAATTTAACCGATGACATGGGTTGTGTTGGCTTTGAGAAACTGCGACTCAAGAAAACCCCACAAGAAAAAGTCTAACGGGGTCGAATTGCACGATCTCGTTGGCCAGTTTACATCACCTCCACGTCAGATGACCATGCCCTCAAATAGCTCGTGCAGAATATCCAATATGGCATGAGCTGTGTTGGCATCTAGCGCCGTCCTGTTGAAACCACATATCCTTGTAGCAGGGGAGCCGACGATGCAAAATGGGGATTTACTCGAGCGTCATTGAGATATATTAGGTTGCAAAGCTTAGATGATAAGAAGAAAAAAATGTTATATAATATATACCTTTCCGCACTTTCAACTAGACTTCTCCGATCTGCTTGTTGGTATTGTTTATATATGGTAATGGAAGTCTCTGGAAGCC